TAATCTGCTCAGGCAACTGCGTGAGAATATCAAGGCTAAATTCGTGGAAAACTCACTGAAGGTGCTTTGCACCAGGACAATGTACCTGTGCACATGTCTGTTGTCGCCATGGCTGCAATGCATGAGTGTGGCTTTGCACTTTTTGGACATCCTTCGTATTCATCAGATTTCAGATTTACACCAGAAGGAAGAACTGTCTGGCAAGCATTATGCAATCAATGATGACGTTCTTTCTGCTGTGGTCGACATTGTACACCATTATGAGGAAGCCTTGTTTTTTGTTGTTGTTTAACGCAGCACTCAGCAATATTCCAGCTATATGACGGCGGTCTGTAGATAAACGAGTCTGGACCAGACAATCTTGTGATTTACAAGATGAGCATCGAGCCACCCAATAGGGATTGATGACATGCATCAACCAAAGCAGCGAGCCTGACCACCCGATCTCGTTAGTCGCCTCTTACGACAAGCTTAGGCTGCTGAAGACCTATTCTAACCCGGATCTTCCCCGGTCAGGAAGCCTTGTACATCAGTGGGATCCTGACAATGCAGTATCGTTGACAGCAGAGTCTGGTCCTCGGATCGGATTATGTTGAAAAAATAATTAGCAACAAACTCTATCAATGCGGGCCATCATAGCTATACTCAGAACTTTTTCTGCTTCTCACCCCTTATTTATTAGTGAAATAATCCTGACCGCAACGTTCAACTCCAATTTCACCTCACCTTGTTCTATACAGGCGAGCTGTGGTGGAGATGCATTTCAGAACCCCCGAGAGGTTTTCCAATCATGCACAATACCATCTTCTGTTTTAGTGTCATATGTGACTGTCGTTAACATTCACAACACTATATTATCTAATCTTTACATGCAATTTGAATGTAAAACAGCGTCACAAAAACTTTTGCCATTTCTTGATATTTATATATTTTAGTCAGAATCGTTGCTGAGGCCTAACGGTTGTTTCGTTTGCTATTCAGTGGATCTGTAATCAATCATATTTTTTATTTTATTTATACTGAGTATGCCACTGACCTACAGTTCAAAACACAAATATTTTTTTATGATCAGTTGGGTCTGATCACTACGATTTTTTTTCTGTGTCACATTAAATAAACTTTGACTATTTCTGTTAAAGTAATGTATCAGTATTGTTAACAAAGACCTAAATTTAAAGACGTTTGAATTCACATGATAACATTCTTGTATTTATCGGTTTGTAAGATATACACCTAAATAGTATTACGTTGCTAGAAAGTATTTGTTTCTAAACTTTGCATTTGTACATTTTTCATTTTTGGTTAATCTGCCGCTGATTCTTCAGACGACTTTGTTAACCTATTGACTGTTCACTTCAATTCCTCATAATATCATTCCTCAAGATCCGTGACTTGTTGTTTTTGTACATCGCTACTTGTACTTGAAAACAACACAATGTCATCAGTAAATAGCCTTAAGAACAAGTGGAAAACATCCGGATCTAACTGAATCCAGTCTGTACAATTACTCTGGATCTGAGATGCTACTTTGTGAATGAAGAAAGGATACAGACGTAGACTTAACATACAACCCTGTCGTATTCCGAGTTAGCTGTTAAATGTGTATGAGGATTCAATGTTATTTTTGATACGTGATTTTACCTTTGCATATACATTACAATCACGTCTTCCATGTCGCGAATTGAAACAGTTACAACATAATTGAAAGCCGACGTGTTTTACTTATTCCTGTTACCTGAAAACCGAGATTCCGTTTGGGAATGAGTGTGTTGGATTGAATTTAACCCGCTGGATGCCTAGTTTTTTTCTGACGCACATTTTCCTAAAAAATGGATGGCACTGTCTAACCTGTAAATTTATACTCACATTACAACATTCTCCTGATTGCGTAAGTGAAATTTGTCTAGTGTTACACAATTATTAATGGAGCACTAGCCTTATCATCAAATGCAATGACTAGCTAAAAAAAAGACGCCATCTATTTGACGTTGGTTTTATGTCTTTGACAACGTCGGAGAAAGACGACACTGGTATTTTGATTAATATATATGTAGGTCTCATATCTATGGTAGATTCTCAGATCTAAGGCAGATTCCACAAATGGGGCAGATATTGGCGTATACTCAGATCTGTGACAGATTCCACATTTGGGGCAGATACTGGTGAAAACTCAGATCTATGGCAGATTATCATATACAGTAAAGTACGTTTATAACGAACACCCTTATAACGAACTGACGGATATAACGAACTGATTTTTTGTCCCGACTATTTGCTATAGTTATGCTGTATATATGCTTATAACGAACTACGGTTATAACAAACTAAAGCTAGTGGTCCCTTCGAGTTCGTTATAACCGTAGTTTACTGTAATATTAATAAATGATAATTTCTATAGCGCTAAAAATCGTATAGATTCATATATAACGGCAGACTTTCAATGATCAATGTTGTAATTTTTCTGGATTAATTTTATGGTTTACCATTTGGCACGGGATTGGCGGTGCAGGGATTGCATATATAGGTACTTTTCTTAAAAACGTTCGCCGAAGTTTCATCGTGGAAATAATTTTCTAAGACCTTCCGGACTATCCTCGCATTTGTCGGAGTTGATAAAATTCTAAATAGTTTCACGGTTCCCCACTGCGAGATTCAGAGCCATTAGATCTACACGAGAAACTGCTTCGATTTTGAAAAATCATTTGAAAGGGATTCGGCATTAGGGTCTTTCGGCACTGGCTTCTTCCTCTGACGGCATGAATCAGCCATAAGAAAACCTTCATTTTCTATGGTGTCTGGCTCCATCGTTTTCGACTGATCGATGTGTCTATGTAAATAATGTCACGGGTGGATAAACAATGTAGATAGTTTACCGTGTATCTTTACTGGACAAGACACGCACCTTTTTGGCATCAATTTTACGTAATCAAATAGCCAAAAGAATATTTCAAAACAACCAAATTACATTCAATATTGGACATGTATTTGTTCATTATTATGTGATTATTTCTCTTCATCTCGTCTCAGAGTTATTTGAACAGCATTCCAGTCATATCAATCAATCTTTATTCATGGTACTGATAAGGCCAAAGGCCTATAGTACAATGTCTTAGTTTCATAGCATTGATAAATTTCCCATAGTTTATGTACAATCACAAGTATTTAATTTACAAAATTTGTTACCGTTTGGGTTGCGGTAGAAATATTTATTTAGATATTTTGCTCTTAAATCATTATACACTGGACATACACATAAAAAGTGACATTCATCTTCAATACAATCAGTTTTACAAATCCGACAAAGTCCATGTTCTCTTGCAATACTTTCACATCTGCCCGTTTCAATAAATAGATCATGTAAGCCACAACGAAATCGAGAAAGAGCTGTTATATCACGGAGGAGTGTCATGTGGGAGTGATGCAGGTCTCAGATGTCTGCCACTGTAGTGAAACCCACGTATGGTGCTGACAAACCCAGAAACATAATCAGGGCGAACCGGGATTCGAACCCATGATAATAGGTTTCTGGTATGCCCAAGGGACGCAACTCTGCACAGCGAATTGCGACGCCTTAGACGACTGTGCCCCCATTCTCCCTTAAATTGTTAATTAAAATAATGAAAATGCATAAAAACATGTCTCTGTTTATTAACATCATGAGTGAATTACCTTCTCTGAAAAACGTGTTGCATTGACATGAAAACATCAATGCAATCCGCAGTTTTAGGGCAATATGGACTAAATATACAGTGAGTGAGTGAGTGAGTATGGTTTTACGCCGCTTTTAGCAATATTCCAGCAATATCACGGCGGGGGACACCAGAAATGGGCTTCACACATTGTACCCATGTCGGGAATAGAACCCGGGTCTTCGGCGTGACGAGCGAACGCTTTAACCACTAGGCTACCCGACCGCCCACTAAATATACAGGTGAGGTGAGCTGAAGTGGGGTTAAACGTCGCGTCCAAGATTATTGCACTTATATAGCCACGTGCATGTACGTGTGTGTGTTTGTGTGGCTGCTTGTACTAGTCCGGACTGATGCCGATTAATAGTGCTAGCTCACTGAGATACCATGCTGCAGTTTAACATGAATAACCCACTCAGACACAGTATACTGACTCCGAGCCGACCAGTCCTTGTTTTAGCCCCTTAATGCCGAGCGCCAGACAGGGTAACAACAAGTACCATCTTTTAACGTCTTTTGGTATGACGCGGCCGGGGATCAAACACATTCCGCTCTCCGGGAGGGACGCTCTACCACTAGACCACGGAGGCGGTCGACTAAATAAACAATTTGACTTTACAACAGCTGCAATAAGTCCTATCGTAACTCCAGTGTCTTTGCTGGACGATGCGTGAAAGTATTCTGTGCAATACTCGTGCATTTTCTCTCGTCCAATAATTTACGCTGGTCGTTCTGCGCATGACTCCATGGCCAGTTGGTCATTCAATCTTTTATAATAGTTGCACTTGGGAAACTGAAGCGGTCATAAAATATCTTCCAACACACCTCACAGGGGATTAACTACGAACTGGTTACAGTGGGCAGACTTCCATTGGATTATTATTGACATTCCAACGTTGACAATAATATTTAAGACCAAAATTTAAAAAAAACACTGCTGTGTTTCTTTCAAACGAAACTATAAATATTTCTCAATGAATAAAAAGCCTTAAAGGGCAATAATACTCTAACTCTCAGTTGTCAAATCAGCCCTATTTCAATTAGCCCGCATAATTACCATATGCCAATTAGTGCTGTACACAAGTCAAACCAGTCAAGGTTATTGTCCATAATAAGCAAATTTTGAATCTGCAAAGAAAAACGCCATCCATATTTTAATACTTTCAAAGTTTGAGTGTTTCCCTTAAAGATATATTCCATCAGATTAGAATTAATAAAACTGTTTTAAAAATTGGTCCAAAAATATAAGTTGTCAGAATTACACACATCAAAGGCTCCTCATCAAATATGAAAAACAACAAACAATAAACAAATGTGTTATAACGACACTTTTTAATCACACAAAAAAAAATCACAGTTTGGTACATAATTTCTGAAAGAGCAATCCCACTCAGCATGCTGTGTGCAGTGCCAATTACACAGCAAAACCATAACAGCCTGTACCATCCTGCTGCGATGCTGCCATTAATTGTCAAGCAATCACAACTAGTGCTGCAGCAGGGACAAGTGATCGGTCCAACGTCTCATCAACAAATATCACAGTTGGAGAGGTGCCACATGTACCCCAGGTCAGGCAGTCGAGGACACTGGGAACATCTTGGAGCAACTGGCTAATGGCAGCCTTATGTTTTAGATTTGGCTGATTTAAGAGATTTGCGACTTGATCGGTCCGAGTCATGCGACTTGTTCTGTCGACTTTTGCCAGCCGCTGTAGCTGTGATTGGAGTGCGGAGCTTGTAGCGTGGTGGGGGGCCTAGAGAAACAATAACGTAATTAGTGGCAGCTCGTTAACACATCCATAATTGACGTCGAGAACATTTCTTCATGATTTCCTACAAAAGTCATCACTCATGATGATCTCTGTTTGAGGTGAGGTGAGTGAGTGAGTTTGCGGGGTGGGTGAGTGAGTGAGTGAGTGAGTGAGCGAGCGGGATGAGTGAGTGAGTGAGTGAGTTTGCGGGGTGGGTGAGTGGGTGAGTGAGTGAGTGAGTGGGTGAGTGAGTGAGTTTGCGGGCCGGATGGGTGAGTGAGTGAGTGGGTGAGTGAGTGAGTGAGTGAGTTTGCGGGGTGGGTGGGTGAGTGGGTGAGTGAGTGAGTGAGTTTGCGGGGTGAGTGAGTGAGTTTGCGGGGTGGGTGGGTGAGTGAGTGAGTGCGTGAGTGAGTGAGTGAGTGAGTACTTCAGCTACATCACAGTTGTCAATTTAATATGGAAGGAAACCCCAAAGAGAAACAGGTCATAAATGTCCTCTATTTCGATGACACCAAGAGACCAGGAATGATGAAGGGTCACAGTCTGTACAGACATTCAAACACACGATCGGCTGACTCTTGTAAGCCCAACACCAGGCCAAACTGTCATGCCTGAATTTAGTGGCCCCTCCCCTACTTTAGAGAATATGACACATCAAAACTATTCCCACCATTTATATAAAGTTTCTTTGAACAATTGACACGTGTGAGGTTTCTGAGGTAAAAGTGAAGAGTACACTGTTGGTTCATTTACACAAATGGGAACAAGTTTGTAGCCCCTTCCATGATGTTGCTACACAGGACACACATACCTCAGTCAGATATCTATCAAATCTGTTTCATTCATTAATTTTTACAAAATGAAAGTTTCCTACATTTGTCAAACAATATCCTATCCAGGCAAATATGTTCATGAATATTCTCATGAGATGTTCTGTTGCAATAAACATAAGGTGAGTTTAAAGACAAACTGATGTATATTCAATGACAGTGGATAGGCTTTAGTAGGATTGTTAAATGTTTTCTTTGCAGAATTTCTGCAAGTTTTGTGTTATGTATAACACTATTGTACAGTGTATCAGTCATTCGCCGACCCAGTGCCTGTGGGTGGGGCAGACAGCATGGTACAGTGTATCAGTCATTCGCCGACCCAGTGCCTGTGGGTGGGGCAGACAGCATGGCACAGTGTATCAGTAATTCACCTACCAAGTGCCTGTGGGTAGAGCAGACAGCATGACACAGTGTATCAGTCATTCACCTACCCAGTGCCTGTGGGTGGGGCAGACAGCATGGTACAGTGTATCGGTCATTCACCTACCCAGTGCCTGTGGGGAGAGCAGACAGCATGGCACAGTGTATCAGTCATTCACCTACCCAGTGCCTGTGGGTGGGGCAGACATGGTACAGTGTATCAGTCATTCACCTAACCAGTGCCTGTGGGTGGGGCAGACAGCATGGTACAGTGTATCAGTGATTCACCTACCCAGTGCCTGTGGGTGGGGCAGACATGGTACAGTGTATCAGTCATTCACCTAACCAGTGCCTGTGGGTGGGGCAGACAGCATGGTACAGTGTATCAGTCATTCACCTACCCAGTGCCTGTGGGTGGGGCAGACAGCATGGCACAGTGTATCAGTCATTCACCTACCCAGTGCCTGTGGGTGGGGCAGACAGCATGGTACAGTGTATCAGTCATTCACCTACCCAGTGCCTGTGGGTGGGGCAGACAGCATGGTACAGTGTATCAGTCATTTACCTACCCAGTGCCTGTGGGTAGAGCAGACAGCATGGCACAGTGTATCAGTCATTCACCTACCCAGTGCCTGTGGGTGGGGCAGACAGCATGGTACAGTGTATCAGTCATTCACCTACCCAGTGCCTGTGGGTGGGGCAGACAGCATGGTACAGTGTATCAGTCATTTACCTACCCAGTGCCTGTGGGTAGAGCAGACAGCATGGCACAGTGTATCAGTCATTCACCTACCAAGTGCCTGTGGGTGGGGCAGACATGGTACAGTGTATCAGTCATTCAGCTACCCAGTGCCTGTGGGTAGAGCAGACAGCATGGCACAGTGTATCAGTCATTCACCTACCCAGTGCCTGTGGGTGGGGCAGACAGCATGGCACAGTGTATCAGTCATTCACCTACCAAGTGCCTGTGGGTGGGGCAGACAGCATGGTACAGTGTATCAGTCATTTACCTACCCAGTGCCTGTGGGTAGAGCAGACAGCATGGCACAGTGTATCAGTCATTCACCTACCCAGTGCCTGTGGGTGGGGCAGACATGGTACAGTGTATCAGTCATTCAGCTACCCAGTGCCTGTGGGTAGAGCAGACAGCATGGCACAGTGTATCAGTCATTCACCTACCCAGTGCCTGTGGGTGGGGCAGACAGCATGGCACAGTGTTTCAGTCATTCACCTACCCAGTGCCTGTGGGTGGGGCAGACAGCATGGCACAGTGTTTCAGTCATTCACCTACCCAGTGCCTGTGGGTGGGGCAGACAGCATGGCACAGTGTTTCAGTCATTCACCTACCCAGTGCCTGTGGGTGGGGCAGACAGCATGGCACAGTGTTTCAGTCATTCACCTACCCAGTGCCTGTGGGTGGGGCAGACAGCATGGCACAGTGTATCAGTCATTCACCTACCCAGTGCCTGTGGGTGGGGCAGACAGCATGGCACAGTGTATCAGTCATTCACCTACCCAGTGCCTGTGGACGGGGCAAGCTCGTCTTCTCCAGCATCAAGTTCAGATCTTCCCCAACTTCCTGTACAGTTGTTTTCAGACTTGCTGCTGTTGATGTTGTGTATGCCTGCATCACATCACGGATCATCTCACCTAGACTCTGCAAGAACACACAATGATAACACATTAACATGTGGTAAACATCTGGTTCATCATGTAATACCCTCTTCATGCAACTGGCAAACAATCGACACACTGTATACTATCCTCAAATTACCTGCAGCATTGTAGGAGGAGACAAAAACAAAATTTCAAATTCTTTATTTTTTCAATTTGGCATCTTTGTAAAATGACACAGAAATGTTAAATATTTTCCAGTTTCACACTTAACATGGAAACTGCTTGGAGTTCTGCTGAAGCAATAAATAGTATCTGGACAAAGATTGCCAGGTCATTGAACGTGTATCACTTGTGCAGGTCACGCAGAGAAACAATTTCAGATTTCATTTTTCATAAGTGTAAAAGATGGTCATAAACATGAAAAGCTTTAAATTGTGTTTTTTTTAACAATTCAGTGACATCTTCATTCAAGAGAAATACCTCTTTTGTGAGTGGAAGATCTGAAGAAAAGATCTTCTCCTGGACAGCAAGTTGTTGACCTTCATCCTCCATCATCAGTTTCTCCTTTACTTGAATTCTCTCAGAAATCTTGGTCATCTCGAGATCATCAAGACCCTCGATTTTCTTCTCATACTGCCAGATGTGGTCAGGTTTGCTGGTTGTTAGTTCCTCGGGTGGTATCGGGACGTTGACCGCAAGTGACACATATGGCCCATTGGTCTGTCTGTCTTGCGTGAACACGTAGGTAAACAGCTGGTAGTGTGTCATAAACGTGGAGAAGACATAGTCTGTGTACTGTTTATAATTGCGTTCACCAAGGACTTGTGCCAGATTCCCTGATAAATCCTTGAAGCAACGTATTGCACTAGACAGGGGTTTCCCTGAAAATGATTAGAATACTCAGTTGTTCATTGAAACAATTGGTGACAAAAGCTTTGGAGTCCCGAACTTGTCCTTCGGCACCATTTTTATTCAATTTTCATTCTGGATTATTTCCTAGTTGACCTTACTACACAGAAAATATATTATCAGATTCAGGTTTCAGAGAAGTGACTTATTAAGTTGCTGATAGGCAAAACAAATAAAATCTATTAAAGGATATTGTTTCTTTCCTTTATGATTCAACATGGTGAAGAAAATATACTGACATTTTACTCAGTGTATTTTAATACAAACACAGAGTGTATGACGCTCATTAAAGGATGTATGTGAAATAAACACTATATATACTACTCAAAAGAAGTTAAAGAACAGCCAACTCTTTTATATGACTTTAGTTAATGTGTAATGCCATTACAGATCAAATATAGTTATATGAAGGAATCGGGTGTTCTTTAACTTTTCTTGTGTAGTATGAATGTACCAAATATATCTTGTTCCCACTTAATCATGTTTGCATATAATTAGTCCAGAGCTATTTAATTTATTGTCTTACTGATTTTTTTGTGGTGCAGAATATATAGACATCCTACAGTCATATTCAGCTTTAGTGCTATGTATCCTCCAGTTCTATTCATTGTATGTTATTTGATATACAAGCTTGTTGCTTTACCCTGGCACTGCTGTAGGAAATCCAGTGCAAACTGCAGGATGACTGTTACTTGATGCCATGAAAACCCCTTCTCAGCAGCAAACATTACATTGTCGTACAGGTAGTCAACATATATAGCTGCTTTCAAGTCATTTTCTTCATTATATTCCTTCAACTTTAAGATTTTGGCAAGTTTCTGACGTCCAGCGGATTTCTGAAATTGACAAAAGCACAATAAACATTTGTTTTCAAACAAATCAATTAATAAAAGCTACTAAAGAAATGCACACACTGCGTAATCATTCTTCAGCTATTTCATGCTTGACTGCTTCAGAGATTTGAAAAACCTGGTGCAGATAGGCTAAACATTTGATGAATCTTGATGGCATTGATGCACAGATTTGGACAAATGCAAACCCAGGGCCTGTACATCGCAAGTCATGACTTGACTCTCGGCTAGGTAAACATTTGACTGATCGCGCGTAGCGGTTCATGAACTTGTGCAAGTTGTCCTATTCCTAACAAATAGCTGGTTACGCTGACACAAAATTATATACATTCGGGAGACTGGTGTTTTCAGTCCCTGCTTTCAGATCCAACATGACGAATGGAAAACCCAAAACGGCCTATATGATATCTAGATCATGCGGTTTGCATGTTATCAGACCTCATTCTCAGTAATTTAGGCCTATTTTATGGTCTCTGCTCTCAGGAACACGTACATTCCCCCCATTTGCACTGTTTGTTTGAGAGAAAGGACATGAGCCTAAACTGCATAACGATACAAACACAATATGTAAATATACGATTTACATCATTCATGCGCATTCTGAAAACAAAATCTAAAAAGGCATTGTAGTAATTTAGTATACTTCTATTGAAGCGATATTCTCGACTTCCTCTTCTTTGATGGCCGCCATCTTGTTGCTAGTAAACAATCCTGTTCAATCTCGTTACTTCGTGATGATATGCAGTGTCGTCTTTTTCTCTAATAAAATCACGAACCACTCTCAATTGATTAAATCAACGTAAGTTCAAGCACCTCTTACATTATGATTCCCTCATAAGAGAGTAGGGGTATATATTGCTCGCACCAAGCACTTCGTTTACATCACGTGATTGGAAACCAGCTAGCGCTCCTCCCCGCCAGTCGTTCGTTAAGTGTACTGACTCTCCTATATGTGGAGTGCTGTGTTGTTTTACATCGGTGGATTTGGATTACCAAGCATTGTAATGTGTTTATCATGCAAGGTAGGTGTTAATTTATCAATTACTGAGTTTGAAGTCATAAACCAGTAGCTGTGACAAAGTTGGCACTTACCAGAAATACCGTTTGAACATGACTGAGAACTGTCAAACTGAAGCTGCATGATCTCGGCGCTGTCGTAGTCGTAGCCAGTCAGTGCATGCCGCGAGGATGGCGTTATATATATGGCAATGTTATCAGAAATTGTAGGAACGTGTATTTTCGCTGTTTTGAATAAATAAAACTATTTACCTTTATCCTTTCGTTTATTGGGAGTAGGCCTAGTTAAATTTCTTTGATATCAAACATGTCAAATTGACGTGAGATTAACAAATGTTACGACTTTCAATAATTGCTTGTGCTTTATATTGTAAAATGTTTTAATTATCTGGTAATAATTGAAAAAACAAAGATCAGATACACTACATGTATTTTGAATTTGTTTTGTTATTATTTGAATTTATAGTTAAAAACTTAACATATGACAACATATAGGATGGGTGTGTTTGGGGTTAAATAATAGCATTTTGCTGTTGATGAAAAATCTTTAAAACACTTCCTTAAGTAGACAACATAAGACAGACATGTATACATGATAATATATCCCAATTACAACTCTAAACATGTATTCTCAAGACATTAAGTCTTATTTGGACTGTGTGCAAATGAAGATAAGAAGGCAAATCAATTGGTATTGCTAGAGTACTGATTAAACATGTGATAGATGCAATAAGCGGCCACAGCTTTCATTAAGCCCCTTAAGCCTACAGGCTTGTTTGAAGATCAAACTTCTGAGAGGTGTCAGCAGTGTTGCTGCACATTGCCTCCTTGAATGTACTTGGAAAAATAATCTTGTGGATTGACTCTTAATATTTCCGGTCACCCTTGAAAAGGTTTCAAAGTGTACTAAGGGCCTAAAAAAAGTAGAAATTTAAGACATTGAAATTAATACCAGTTTTTATATTCCAGTTTGATATATCACCTTCTGCTTCAGTGTTGATTAAATGAATTTTCTTGGAAATTAAGTCTATTTAATTGTTTTCTCTATTTTAGCAGTTTTAGTTGTGTAAGTTTGGTCATAGTGAGAAAGTCATGACAAACATGGCCCAATCTAGCTTTTCGTTGAAAAGGTTACATTGTCCTTGCCATACCATGTTAGTGCATATAAAATCTAAGACTAAGTTATAAATCATTCTCTTAATGTTAATTAATTATCATGATTATTACCAGATGCTTATTCCCTGATGAAGTTAATCCATGCATATGATCTGTAAAATACATTTACAATCACACACTCATAAAACATATTTGGCAACCATGTCATTCTATATTGTTTGGATTGTTTATATTCATGACTTTTAAACCCCACTGTCTCACTACCAAACAACCTGTCTTCAATGAGTTTATTATCCCCCAGAACCAGCATGCAGGGATTTATCTACACCTGCTGAGAGACCGTTATTCGATGACAAAGTCTGGGCAAATGTCATTAAAAATTCCCAATTTGGAACTAAAGAATTTCCAATTCATGTTACTATGTAGTATATATATTACTCATAACTAATTTTATTGTTTTGTAGAAGTAACCTGTATCCACCTATAACATCACCAATAAATAGGAACAGGTTTTATTGCTTGTTATATATATCATTGCACACAATGCAATCTCAAAATACCTCAGAATTTAAGAAAATATGAAGTTTCAAAAAATCTCAATTTTGAACCAAATAATAACTTTTGCTAATTTGCCTGCCAGGGGCATTTAGTTAAGAATCCTTGATAAACCCAGGGCAGGTATTTGTGGTCCCTTCTTTCTTTGCTTGCAATACACCATGAGCATAGTGGGGGCACGGGTGGCCAAGTCGCCTAAGGTGCCGCGATTCGCTGTGCAGACTTGCGTCCCTTGGGCACACCAGAAACCTATGATTGTGGGTTCGAATCCCGGTTCACCCCTATTATGTTTCTAGGTTTGTCAGCACCATACCCGTGCTCGTGGGTTTCACCGAAGTGGTAACCGTCTGAGACCGGCATCATTTCGGGCTTTCCTCCCACATTAAGCTGACACGCCGTAATATAACTGGAATAATGTTAAAAGCGGCGTTAAACCCAACTCACTCACTCACCATGAGCATAGTCCAACCAAACACTCAAGATTCATGGAAATCACATTGTCATCAGTTATTGGTTGCAGATGCCTTGAGCAATATTTTTTAACAATGCCTCCCCCATTTTGGAAAAATTTGTATGAAAATTTAATCATTAATTTGTTTTGGCCTTGTCATGTAACTTGGGCTATGTTATTAATAAGAAGCCTTGACTTGTATTTCACTGACCAATGTGAGCAAAATAACATTTTGTTCCCATATTGCCTGCCAAGGGCGGTTTGTTTGGAATCCTGGATAAATTCCTGTGAGTTCAAGAGTCATTACACCCCAGTTGCTAAGATACAACATATGGAATAACATTATAGCCATCAACAAAAACATCCCACTCTCTTCCATGGAAATTGTATTGAACATGTTGAAAGGAAATGAACAAAATTCAACATGGGCATTCTAGAAAACTGTGTTTAGGCAGGAATACAGTGAGGTTAAATCAACATTATCACCTGTTTTTGTAATCAGTATCAAATGAGGCCACCTATTTGTCAAATGTTGGAGTTCATATTAGGACATTTGATCTTTCCAGACTAGCAGCCAAAGATCCTGTGAAGATCCGGGTTGGAATGATCTTCAGCAACCCATGCTTGCCGTAAAAGGCGACTATGCTTGTCGTAAGAGGCAACTAATGGGATCAGGTAGTCAGGCTCGCTGACTTGGTTGATGCATGTCATCGTATCCCATTTGCGCGAATCGATAATGATGTCAATCACTGGATTGTCTGGTCCAGACTCAACTATATACAGATCGCTGTCATATAGCTGGGATATTGCTGAGTATGACGTTAAACAACAAAATCAAAGATTTCACTCTCTTTAGCATGTTTAGCCATGTAGGCTCTGTAGTGGTCTAATTATGCTAATCCCAGTAACAATTATATCATGATCTAATTACTATTAATCTTTGCTGATAATTAAATACTTTAATGGAGAATAGAATTGATGTTATTTTTGTATTATTATTATTATTATTATTATTATTATTAGGTAAGTGGGGGTTATTAAGGGAGGGGCATTTTGCATGTTGACAATGATATTAGAACATGGCTGTCAAGGAATTCATACAGATAACTCTACGGTAACCTCAGTACTCTAAGTATCTGGTAATAATCATGCTAATACCATGAATACTGTGTACATATAATAATTAATAAATTCAAATATGAACTGTCATGTTAAGTCTGAATACTGGACATTTGCCATGTTTCCATGTTAATAGTAACAGCTTTTGCACATTGAAAACTCTCTGACAGTTAAAGAGAGCTTCCAATGGAATTTTGATTGTGAATATTTAATGACAGACAGATCAGTGTGTTATGGAGACTGGGATATTGGCTTCCACATGGAAGATTTAGGTTACGCTAGTCATGTTTTTTCATGATCAGTTGTTATTTACAGTTTTTGTAACAACACAAGCACCATGGAGCGTTGATTTCACAGGGAACAAGTCTTTCCTTTTCTAATTGTACAGAAATGATTCGTTAAAACAATCTTCTCATCTGAAAGAGACCACTATGCGGTGCCCAAAGTAGAACATGAGAGTCATGGTGTCCTTGTCATAACCCTAATGTTAAGAAGGGAAGTTCTGAGGGGTCCCTGGGTTCAAATACCATAGGAGCACAGTACCGTAGCTGGGGGGGGTTCATTTTTTTCTATTTTTTTAAAATATTTTTATTTGAATATATTTTGAGTAATGACAAGGCAGTTTGGGGGGGGGGGATTTTTATTTGATTATATTTTGAGTAATGACATGGCAGCCAGCTTGGCTTGTTTACTCCAGATAAGATGAGAATGATTACAGAGTGCACACTAATCCATGGACCTAGGTAAAAATGCTTTGAGCATGCATCTTGTGTGTGAAGTGGGGAGCAATATATGTACACACATCAGCGTTCCCGTTTTCTTGTGATTACCAGATTTCTACTGGTAAAATTAGGTTTGGACCGGTAATTCATGTGACTGCCAGTCCCTGTGGACCGGCAAATAAAGTACCTTATAAATCTTTGTTGTTGAACATAACATTGGTGATATTCATATAAATACATTTTTCGAACAAAGTCAGCTTGTCTGTTATCATCAGGGTTTCCCCTGGTCTATTTCTAGGTTAAATATCCATTTGTAGCGACTTTGTCTCGAAATATTAAATAAAAAAGAAGAAAAAATTGTGACTGAAGTTTGTGTGAATGACGTACAAATCTAACTAAGTTACTTCAGAGATGACATCTTTGCACTGAACATGATATTAAAGAAGTCGACAGCCATAAATTCTCTTCTTCCTTCTTCTAAATGCCTTTCAAAGACTTAATTATAATCATTATTTATTCTTATATTTGATATTTTTTCATCAATAGCAACATGATCATGTTGAGAGATATTATTAGATGGTTCTCAGTCATTTGGTCTATTATGAATGTTAATCATGAATAATTTTTTAATTTCTTTCACGAGACCATGTTCTTGAAATGACGTAAACACTGACGGACGACTTCCACATACGCGAGCTGTTTCTAAACATTTGAGTTTTTCATTGAATGCATGCGTTTCTGTATGCAAGTTGATTGAAAGTAATTGGGTTTGAATATTTTCTGAGGTTTTTTAACGCAAATAATTTGCTTATCTGTATAGCTCTGCATTTGAATTTAATGAAATTGAAAAACTCTTAATGTCAAAGGTGAAGAAAATTACTACTCATACGTCTTTGCTGCCTGGACAGCCATTATCACTGGCTATAAACATGATAAACTATAGTATATATATATTATCTTGAGTAATGGAACGTAACTGTCGTTTAACTGGGCCATGTGACAAAGCTACCAAGGATACATTCTTGATCATGGATTGCCTGGA